TTTTACATAAAAAATAAAAATAAAATAAAAATACATCTACGAATTCTTTGGTATTCTTACCTTCAAAATGTGGAATCTATATTTTTCCCTTCTTGAATAAGGGCTATACTTACCAATTCACTTCTAACAAATAGAATGTAGCAGATGCGATGGTGTGAGATTTCTGAGATTAGGTTCAAAGGACACTATGCTTATCTCCTTGCTGTCTGTCTCTCAGGTCATGGGCTCTGGGGAAGACAGCTGCCATGCTGTGAAGACATGCAGGTAGCCCTGGGCAAAAGCCCATGTAGTGAGGAACCAAGGCTACCAGCCAGTAGCCAGTGAGGATCTGAGGCTTCATGTCGATAGCCATGGGAGTGTGCCATCTTGCATGAGACTTGTCTAGCCCCAGTGATGGCAGCCCTGGCTGCCATTTTGACTGAAAACTCAGAGAGCCTGAGCCAGAACCCCTGGTTGTCACTCTCAGATTCCTGACCTATAGAAACTGAGATAATAAATGTTTGTTGTTTCAAGCTGCTATATTTTGGGGACAGCAATAAGTAATTAATATGAAGGGGAAGGTGTTTTATGCTATGCCCAGTTCACCATTCTCCCCACTACCCATGTGGCCAAGCCATATCAACAGTTCTGAATCAGTTTCTTCTTATAGAAAATAGCAACAAAGCCTGATATATACAGGGCACAAATATTGCCCCTTTATATTACAAAATCTTTTCATTACAACATCATAAGCATGTAATTCTGTAATATAATAGTATCACACTTGAGCACACCATATAACATTTTACATGAAATGTTCAAATTAAAACTATAAATTATTGCACCCATATTATTACCCTACCAACCACACTCAAGCAGGCTTTACCTCTGCCGGACCCTATATATGCCTAGTACTGATGAGCTCAAAATAAGCTCAATAAATTGTGCTTGTCAACATCTGATTAGCTGTGTGGCTTCCCCAGGTGGGTTTCTGTCTTTTGGCTTCAGATGTCCCTCACATGAGGTGCCAACCTCAAATTTGAGTTGGTGTGTGCTGCCAGGAAAATAGCCCTACATGCCTGAACCTTCTCTGCTGAGGGCCTCATAGCTTCTTCTTCATTTCAGTAAGGAGAGCCTTAGTGAAGAGTATGTCACTCCTTCTATCATTTTCTTCTGCTAGCTTCCATTCTTAAGCCTAACCTTTCATCTCAGAATTTCGGCTTTGATCCTCCCCACTTCCTTCCTATGGTTAATTTAACCGAAGTGAGTCAGGTCTTACTGAAAAACTGACCACAGCCAGTCAGCTCTTACCCTCCCCTAGAACTAGGGCTGCCTGGGCAGAGCATGAGGGGATCAGTGTTTACTTAGCCCATTCTTTTCCCTTTGCCCCTCCAAGTTACTGGGCTTTGAGCAGGGCTTCCCCAGCTGCCATGATCCTCCCAGCAGATCCCAATCAGCAGCCAATCTCATCTTTGTCTGATGGCTCAAAGAGTGGCAGCAGCTTGAAACCCTGGGTTTCCTATTGAGCGGGCTAATTTGCTTATGTTCTATTCTGTTGGACCAGCCCGTTGCCTCAGTTCAGGGAGGATTCGGTGGACCCTTGTAGTTGTGAAGACCAGTCACAACCAGCTGTGTGCCCTGGGGCCATCTCCAAGTGCTGGAGCCCTGAGAGCACTCCATCTCAGTCCTTCCAACAACCTAAGCAACTGAGTGTTCACACCTGGAAATTGGGTGCTTGAAGAAGCAAAGAACACTAAAAAACTTCCTCTGCTTATTCTTCCAATTTATTCTTAGCTTCAAAAATCAGAATGCTCTTTGAGTAATTCCTTCAAGGATTGAGTTTATGGAAAGACTATAGTGGTCTTCAATATTGGCCATTTAAGGGAGAATATCTCCCCCAACCCCTGCTTGGATTTGGAGCCTTCCCTCTTTCTGGGAGAGGGAAGTTGGCATCTCACTCTGGAATGCAGAATTCACTCATCTACTCTCTTCTATCTTGGATACTTTGAGGGAATAATTTTAGTCAGACAGAAATCAACTGACACCATAACATAATTTTAATCAAACCCATTTATTTATTCAAAATTAAAATCTGCTACAAAGACAGACGAACAATGTAACATTCCCAGAGGAATTGAACTGCTTCTAGTTAAAACTGAGTTCTATTAGAACCAATTTTAGGTTGTTATAAATAACAAGCTGACCACAGTTTTTAAAAATGAAGTGGTTGGGGAATGAGGTCAGGGGAATCCCTCTGAGCCACTGGGATAGTAATCACCAAAGGGGCTCCCTAGTTTCTCTTCCTAACAGGGTGAGATTTTTGTAACACTCTGGGAGCCCCAAGCCCAGTGACAAAAGAAATTAGAGGGAAGTCATGGGAAACAGCTCAATAGCTACAAAATATGGTCAGACTTGGAATGGAAGCTTCTGTTGGCTTCCCAAGAAACATTTTTTCATTATATAACTTACAATTTCTCTTAAAACACTCAAATACCATAAGGTGTTACCCTATGGAAACAGCTTAAACACAGGTGAAAATAATAAATATTGAAAAAATTATAATATTGTGCTTCTTTCTAAATAGTTCACAGAGAAGCTCAGAAATAAATAGAAGTGGGAGTTGAGGTATCAGAGGTAATAAATATTCTAGGAGAGAGGTACTATGGGGTTCTCCAAGGAGCTGGTTCATCTCTCCTGGAACCCTGGATACGATTCTGAAGATCTTTAATTTATTTCTTAGAGTCTAGTCGAGTCATCATCCTGGATGTTTTGTTCCTTGGGCTGTTTCATTTTTTCATCTTCATTGTCAGGTAGACTTCTATGTAGTTGATGAAGATGTCAAACTCACTCATGGCTTTGTAGACCCCTTTCTTTTCGAGCTGTGTGGGAAGATAAGAAATGTTTAGTGAAAACCTAATCTGAGTGAATAAGTAAAGTTGGCTTCTCACTTGGATGCTGTGACCCTGGGGCCTAGAAGCTGCACTTGACCCTTCAAGTTGGGAGGTGAAGGATGGGCCCAGAGAACTTGAGGATATGTCCAGCTGCCATGAGAAAGGCTCTGCGTTGATGCGAGGCATGGCTAGCAGTAGGTGGCAAGAGGAACATCCAGTCTGCAAAGCACAGTCTTCAAAACAGTGCCTTTCCAACAATTTTAAAGGTCATGTGCTCACATGATGCTTATTCAGAATTCAATGAAAAAACATTAGAGGAACCACTTTGAAAGCAGGACAGTGAGAAAGGAGCCTCTTTTAGGTTTATTCTCTTCCACCAACAGATTGAGTAGGACTCACCCAGCTGTTCTGGCCTATGTCAGGGGATTCATGTCCCCTGGTATTGAAACCCTTCCCAGGGTCTGTCCTGAGCCCCTGGAGAAGACACAGACCAAATGGCTTCTGGGAAATGGGATTTAAATGTTCACAAACAGTTGGAAGTGTGAAACCCCATTTGGTTTGAGAGTTGCCATTTTCAGGTACCTCAGGAGTTGTGAGTGGCAGATGGGAAGTGGGCATGGACCAACTCTAGATAAGCGAGGATGCTGCTTCCTGCTCTGCCTGAGTTTTGGGGAGTCTAGGCTGAACCCTTGGGTGTGTTTGTGTGTGCACATTCACGTGTCGGCTTCCTGCACGTGTGGCTTCGGCCTGGATTCCCAACAAGCTACTTTCTGTTTCCTTTGTCACTCTCCCCAGCACCTAGCTCACTGTGTTCACAGGCTGGTTGGCTGGCTCAACCCACAGGCCTGCAAAGGCAGGGAGTAGTCATTTAGAAACCCCCAAAGAGACTTCACAGAAAACAAATATAACCGAGGCGGCAGATCCTCACTGGCTGAGGCGATCACACCACCTGTTGGGTTCCCACAGTTCCTCCCAACGAAGAATAGGGACAACTGAGCATGTGCCAACCTCTGCCCCTTGGGGACCGGGCAGAGGTCCTGTTTCCAAAACCCTCCCTGTCACCATGTAAGCTTACCTTACTAAAGGCACTCTTTACTTGCTCCACTGCTTTGCTCTTGTTTTCACAGGGCAGAAAGCGATGCTGTGGAAGAAAAGAGAAAGTGTTAAAGATTCTGGCTCCGAGCTTCTGAGTCCATAGCACTTGAGGGAAAAGCTGGTGGAAAGAAGTAGGGGCCAAACTTGTCCTGAATGCCTTCCCCTGCCCATCCCTACCTCTCATTCTTCCCCTCCAGACAGAGAAGCAATGTAGCCCAGGAGCCGTTCTGAAATGTTTACAAGGCTTGCTGAAAGCCCAGGTCTTGGAGATTCCTCCCCTGCTGTGCACAGTGCTGCCTAGATGCTGAGCCAGCCTTTTTGACCTTTCCTGCTTCTCTGTCCTGTCCCTATCCTCAGTCCCAGACACTGAAGATCATTTCTAAGTCCCTGAGAAATAGAGACACTCTCAACTACGTGGACTGAACACATTGAATAGTCCCATCTTACAGGTAGAGACCCAAATATGCTGATCTCCCATTATCTGCAAGAGAACCAGGGAAACCACTGATGACAGTAACGCTTCAGTTGGAGAAACAGATTTTCCTGGGGAATTGTTCACTGACATGAACCTTGGGGCCCTTCTGAAGAACCAGGGAAAATCCTGTCAGTCTGCTTTCAAAAGGTTCAGAATAAGAAGGAAGTGAAGTTTCCTTCCCCGGGATCCTCACCTCCTGTCTCCTCAAGGAACAAGGGAACCCTGAGGAAAGCTCTGGGCCCCTTTCATGCAGAGACAGGGGAGTAGTTAATAAACCACAAATGACTCACAAATAACAGGAAAGCTGTTTGCAAATCTTCACATGTAAATGCCTAGCAGCTACCCCACCCCCTGCTCAGAGAGAAATGAGTGGGCTCCTAGCACTCTGTGTGCCTGGGTGTGAGTGGTGTGAGGGGATGAGGCAGTGTTCTGGTGTTTCTGAAAAGCCAAAAGGGAGAGAACTGGCTTGCTACTCACACAGCGCCGCAGCCTCAGCCTGAGTGTCTTCAACTTTTCCCCCAGGGAGTTCACGTGTTCCTTGATGTCTGGGCCCTGGCTCTCAGCCTGGGGCATCACCTCTTCCAGGTAAAACTGGATCATCTCTGACAAGGCTTGGCATCCCAGGTAACCCTAAGGGCAGAAGCATGGGTTGGGGGGTTGTGAATGGGAGAAATGGCTGCTGCCACTAGCTGGAGAGGATGGCTTTGTTCCCCAGGACCTCTCTTTACCACCCGCCTCCCCCCAGGACTGAGCCCTTTGTAACACTCCGGTTTGGTTGGCCTTGTGCTGAGTTAAGATCTTCCCACTTCTCCTTTTCAAGAGAAGAAAGCAGACCCAGCTCTCTGCGAGTGTGAGGCAGAGCCTCACTTCTCCTAGTCAGGGGTCACACTCACCCACCCACCCAGCTCTCACCTTAAAGTCTTCCAGCAAGGACCCATTCAACAGCATGCTGTCCAGCTGGTCATTCATTTGCTGCAAGAAGAACAACATGAGAATAAACCTGAGGTTTGGGGAAATACCTGAAACGAATGTTCTTTATTATAGAGCTTTTGATATTTAATCAATGCAGCCTTGGTTCAAAATTGGAGCATTTTCAAAATGAGGCATTCTGCAGTGCTGGAACCCTTAGTTAAATCAGTTCCTCCCGCTCAGGATCAAATTGTTTAAAACAATCTGCCTAATTTTGAAGCCAAGGCAGAAGCTCAACTCGGTCCCGGTCCTTTTCCTGCAGAGACATCCGGTTTGGAGAAGCCACCCATGTCAGCCTTTCAGCTCTCTCTCCTGTCTCTCTGCCGCCAGCCCGGTCCTGTTCTCACCCGCTGCAGCTTTCTGGGCTCTCTGGGAATGGGAGGCATCTCCTCACAAAAGATGCCCCCTGCATGGCACTTCCCCAGCTGGCAGCCTTTCAGGTTCTGGACTGCTATTTAGCAAAGGTAATTTATGTTTCGCTGCCAGAGGCTGTGGGCAGCATCTTCACCCTTAGTCCCCCACTTCTTGATTTCTCCCAGCTAATGAAGCATTGAGCTCCAGCAGAATCTTGTAAAAAGTTTCTGAGCACAGGAGAGAGAGAGAGAGAGTGCTTTTACCTCGTAGGCAGCTTTTTACCCGCACATTTGGTGCACCATCCGGGCTTAGCTTAAATCATTGAACCCATAGTTGATGGGGGGGAATCTCTTAAGAATTTAACTTTGGAGGCAATGAGTGCTGGGGATGGAGGAGAACAGGAAGGAGTGTTCTTGCAGCTCTAGCAGAATGCCTAGTTCAGGTGGTCTCAGGGAGGAAGGACAGGGGGCATCATACTCACAAAGAAAGTCTTCACCATGCTGAAGGCAGCTCGGAGCTCTCGAAGCATGTTGGGCAGGTTGGCTGGGAAGTCACTGCAGTTGTTCTCAGATAGCCTGCTCTGGTCTTGGCTGGCCCCCACCCCAGCCAGGAAGACCAAGCAACAGAGAAGTGCTGAGCTGGGCATGGTGGTGCTCTGCCTCTTCTGAGTCGGGCTTGTGGTTTGGTTTTGCAAGAGCAAGGCCCTGATGTGTAGACCTTCACCTACTGTGTCCCCTTTTATATTGTTCTCATTCATTAAAAAAAACCCCACATTTCCTGCCAAAAGCTCCTCCTCCCTTACTGTAGACCACTCTTAACTTTGCATTCGATGAACTTTGTTAAGTGCTAATTTTTTTGCATCGTAAGCAAAAATGATAATTGAAGAACTGCATGACAGCTATATTTAGAATTAGCTACCTCTTTTTAAATAATTTTTCAGCTTCTCTTAATAAAAAAAAGTTGATTTCCTGAGATGCACAGCTGTTCTGTGCGCAGAAGCCCACAGTTGTGAGTTCCCTTCACGTGCTCCTAGGTCATAGTGACGTGGACAAATTGGCCATTCCACAGTATACTGAGGTTGAGAAAGAATTGGATCCCTTTTTAACCTGGGTTGAATACTCAGGGCTTCTCCTTGCTGAATTAGGCAGTCGCCTCAATTCTCTGGGCCTTTAGATTTCCTGAATGAAAGCTGTCTTCTGCTTCTCTCATTTTCTGTTCCAAGGCTGCTCCTTGAAGATGTTGGCTTCCCACAGGATGGAAAGGGGTGTGGGGTGAGCTTCAGGCTTCTTCTCCGGCTCTGGGTTCTCTGAGACACTGAGGACCATGTCTCCACCTCCTTGGCTGTCCCAGGACTTGGGGGTAAGTTAGTAAGAGTAGTTCATTCCTATCATAAGTTTGGTGGCTGCCAGTCACCATGACCCTTATCGCCTCCATTTTCTAGTGAGCAGGCTGGGGCCAGAGGTGTTAAGTAATCAGCACAAAGTTACATGAGCGCTAAGTGAGGGGGACAGAGTTTGCACTCAGGCTGGCCTGACACTGGCACCATCTGTGCTTCTTACTCTGCTCTACATTCCTCCCAATGTGTGGAATAAAAAGATTGGATTAGAGGCTTTCAGATTTCTTTTAGTTGTAGCTTCTATGACTAGAGACTTAAGCTTGAAAGAGGGGGAGGAAGAAGTAGAAATAACACAGAAAATAAGTCAGGATTCCATGAAGGCTGGCTTGCAGGCACCTTTCTTTTCTTTTACCTATTTCTTCTCTCCTTTCCCAAAGAAGCCTTTATTGTCTTGCATTTGGACCTGTTAATGTATATGCATGTGTGTGTGTGGGGGGGGGCACAGTAGCCAGATGTAATGAGGCACATTACTCTTCCTCTGGTTAGGAAAGACGGGGGAAATGACATACTTCTTCAGGTCTCTGGGAAATCTCTGGGGGTCTTTTGTGCCCTGACCTCCTCTTACCACAGGGGCTTTTTCCACCAGTGAAGACAGTAATAAGGGAGAACACTGACCTGGGATTGAGGGCTGAAGGCCTGGGCTCTGTCCTGGTTCTGTCACTCTTTAAATCCGGGTCATGTTCCTTGACTTCTCTGTGTCTGTTTTCTGTCTGTCCCAGGGGGCAACAATATGGCCTTGGGCCTCACATAGGATGGGACTTGGGGAACTTATTAGGGGACCAGGATGTAGGACATCTCCTGCTTTCTATTATTTCCTTGCCCCCCTGCATCAGTACTGGGACACCTTGAACGGTGTTGGGTTCTGAGCTTGCCGCATCAGAGAAGGAGATGTTTTAGACAAGTGTAGTGGACACACTAGGGTCAGGATGGACTGAGTAGGAAGGAGAAGCAAGAGGGCCCATCCTGTAATTGTACCTTGTAAGTCAGAATCAGGGGACTACAACCTCTCCTCTCAATCCTTTGAGGAATGTTACTATAGAAATTTAAGAGTCGTGAAGGGAGAAAGAGCCTTTTGGAGACAGGAGTGGTGCTAACACAGGAATTGCTTCTCCTGCCAGATGTGAACTGGGCTTAGGAGGACTTTGTTTTATAACCAGGAAACAGAGAGGAGCCAGGAGCTGGGTCTTGCATCCTTTCTTCCCTTCTTTGCTCTTGGCTCCTGGGTTTTCTGGTCTGGGTCTGCTTTAGCCTATAAGGCTGACCCCTATCTGGGCTGAGTGTTCCAAGTACAGATTTAATGTAGCAGAGCAGTTAGGGCAGAGGACTTGAACAAGGGCAAGGCTCTGAGGTTCTTCTCCTCAATGCAGGCAGCATGGATCCCTCTAACTTTTGTTAGCTACCATGCCCTGTGCTTTCCTCCACTACTAACCCTATAAGACTACAGCTATCATCCATGCCCACACCTTGTCTCCTCGCATCAGCTGTGAGGTCTCTGAAGCAGGATGTTGTTTTGTTATCCTGGGTATGCCTTATGCTGAGCACAGGGTCTGGCCCATGGTAGGTGCCAGGTACACAGCTTCTTCTTTATTATATTAGGATGGGAATAGCATAGTTTCCTGGGAACCTTGGCTAGGGCTGGAGGAAGAATGCTAAGGAGGCTGGTCTGCGCACAGGCAAGGACTCAGAGGGATGGGGGATCAACTTAGGGAGGCAAGAAGCATCTCTTCCACTTTCTTGTGATTTGAGATATATATATGTACATGTATGTATATGTACATGTACCTTCATGCACAAGATGGCAGGGAGGAGGCAAGTGGGCAAAAATCATTTCTATCTTTCTTTAATCCATAAGCCATTTGTTGAATAGTTGATGCTTTCTCCATTGATTTGAAATCATTGTTCTCTCTTATCTAAGAATTTCAGAGTCCAGTTGGTCAAAGAAAACCACGGGCAAATTTTGTGACACATTTTCTTAATTAACAAATAGAGATAACAATATGTTCCCTATCAACATATCTCATAAGATTGATGTCAAGCCAATACCAGAGAATAGGGATGAACATTTTGAGAAAAATTGAGACACTCTTCTTTCATATTGACAAAACAAGGAGAACAATAAAAATAAAAGTCATCCTGCTTCTCAAGGCTGTGAAGATAATCTCTTTATTGAAAAAGTCCTTAGGGTTTATTAAGTCCCAGAATCATGGGTCACCTCTGAGCAATAAATATTGACAGTCTGCATGTTAGGAGATCTGAGTTTGGGTTTTAGTCCAAGGGAAGGACTGAAGGGAAGAGCCCGTGTAGGGAAGGAAGTGAGAGAGCAGGACATATGGATGGAAGGGTGTCAGTCTGGGCACCGTTTGAGCTTGAGGATTTCAAGAGGACACAAATGCCACTCAGCAAATTGTGAGCTCCTTGAGATTAAATGGTTTAAGTCCAAATTTCCCTCAAGTCCAGATGCACAGGGGGTCTCTAATATATGCTTATTAAATTGAATTTAAATGAATTTTTCACTGGGGGCTTACTGGAAAATAAGAGGAAGGTTGTGGGAGGAAAAAAAGATTTCTTCTCTTCCACCTCTGCTCAAAAATATTCCCTAATTTTGGTATTCAGCTGCAAATGAAAAAAATCTTACTAGATAAGCATGGTTTTAAAAAGCAAGGGATATATATATAGACAACTCTCACATGCCACCTACAAGCTGCTTTTCCTGCCTCCCTGCTCTGCTATTCATTGCTGCAAGATGTCAGGGAGAAGGGGCATGGGTAAAGTCCAAAGGTTCAAAAGCATATCAGCCTAGGGGATCCTAATACGCTTTCTCAAAAGTTCTATCCAGTGAGTTTCACTGGTTTAGCTGCAGAGGAGTCTAGGCATACAAGAACTGCCAGAGTGTGTGTGTGTGTGT